ATGAAACTTCTTTGTGCTTCTGCAGGGCCTTCGAGTTATTTCATAACTGAGCAAGGGGAAAAGGCCATTGTGAGGGGGTGGGGACAGCTGTCTCCCCATCTCGGGTGTTGTGATGTAGCTTCTTTCCTTTTAGAACCTGAAACCCCTATCAAGAAGTGCAACTGTCCAATGAGGTTCAAGCATGTGCGAGCCGAGCAACCAATGGGCAGCAAACATCGAAGTATATAAACCAAGGTCTGACATCTTGCAAAGTAGGGCAACCCCTACATTGGCTTGGTGAACAGGATCTGATCCCAAGGACTGTTACCTTTTCTCCCGTACAGGTAAACTCAAGGGAGGGAATAAGGGGTACTTCACAAACATGAAAAACTTCAGCAAAAAAGGGTGTAATACACTGTGGCTTTATGTGCGTTTGATCCAAAGTATTTCCCCATACAAATTAATCAAACCTCATTGGTGTTAATGACTGGATCCCTGATGCACAATATCAGGATTCTTATGGAATTACTCTTGATTGTTGGAGTATTAGAAATGCAGAGTTTCATAATTTTAAAGCTGCTTTGCTCATGGTAGATCTGTAGAAAGCTTGTCATTGCCTGATAAGCATCAAAGAGTCATAATGCATTGGAAAGCTAATAAGAGAGCAGTCTGGAGTAGATTTGCTGTCTATGGAAGGAATGATCTGTGTGCGTGACATCTGCTGTACTTTGGTGCAAGGTCATGTTATCTGGGGGAATTTATAGCTGATGTATTTTACTCAAGTCTATTTATAATACTTCAGATATTGCATTTGTTTTGTATGCAACTGTGTGCCAAAAGCTGTGAATATGTGGACAAATAGATTAGTAATGATTTATTACTCCTAAACTGTAAGCATTTGATATTTCTAATATTTTGTTAATGAAATTTTGCAAAAGCTAAATTGGCATGATCATAATACCAATTATGGGGCGAGTGTGCATGCTCCACCCCCAGCAGAAATTAGAGAGGTGAATGTGCTATCTGCTTTGAGTGACGGGAGTGAGTTTGGCAGCCATGCTAAAAATATCACCTGCTGTCTGATGCATATAAGCATGCGAGCTATTCAACCACCACTCCATGTAAAAATATGAGGTGCTGGTTAGACATAGCAAAATATTTTGTTACTAGGAGACTGAAGTTTACTTGGGACACAAAATATAGTATGCATTAACCTTGTCTGCAACTGCTGGCATCTTATTCTGGAAACTAGCGCTGCTTGTTCTTGACCGAACGCAAATGGGTAGTCGTTCATAATTCTCTATATCAATGGCAGCGATGAGGAACCTTGGTTTCCCTCTTTCCTGGGTCCAATGAGTAAGCTACACCTTAGTAGGCCTGGGGCAATGTTCCTGGTTGTCCACTCTGACAACAGCTCTGCAGACAAGATTTGCAGACTAATCTGAGTCTCCAAAGCACACTGTAAATACTTTGCCAACTTGCCTTACTACTTGTCTTTCGGCAGATCTCCAGAAAAGTGCAATCATGACTAAGAACTGCAACAACGATTACAAGATGAAGTTCTCTCTGGAGGAGGAGTACCCTGACCTCTCCCAGCACAACAACCACATGGCCAAAGTCCTGACTAAGGACATCTACAACAAGCTCAGGAGCAAGTCAACCCCCAGTGGATTCACCCTGGATGACTGCATCCAGACTGGTGTGGACAACCCTGGTAAGTAGAACATGTTTGGATTAATTCTCCCATAGCAGCTAATCTTTCAAGAAACCACAAGCAATGTTTTAGTTGTTCTAGTAGATATATAAAGCACTACCTTTTGATCCCAATTCAAGGCCATCCCTTCATCATGACTGTCGGCTGTGTGGCTGGTGATGAGGAGTCCTACGAAGTCTTCAAGGAATTGTTTGACCCCATCATTTCTGACCGTCACGGTGGCTACAAGCCCACCGACAAGCACCAGACAGATCTGAACTGGGAGAACCTGAAGGTATGTTAAAGTTCTTTACATTATAATGGCTGTTTTACTCTACTGTGGCTGATGTTTACCTGTGTGCAGGGTGGTGATGACCTTGACCCCAACTACGTTCAGAGCAGCCGTGTGCGTACCGGCCGCAGCCTCAAGGGATTCACCCTGCCTACCACCAACAGCCGTGGTGAGCGTAGAGCTGTGGAGAAGCTGTCCATTGAGGGTGAGTCTCATTAACGTTATGTCCTGACATCCACAAAACAACATGCATGGTCTTATTGACGTTCACATTGTTCCTCTCACAGCTCTGAACAGCCTGGATGGCGAGTTCAAGGGCAAGTACTACCCTCTGAAGGACATGACTGATAAGGAACAGGAGCAGCTCATTGCTGACCACTTCCTGTTTGACAAGCCCGTGTCCCCCCTGCTGCTGGCTGCTGGCATGGCTCGCGACTGGCCTGACGCAAGAGGCATCTGGCACAATGACAACAAGACCTTCCTGGTGTGGGTGAATGAGGAGGATCACCTGCGTGTCATCTCCATGCAGAAGGGTGGCAACATGAAGGAAGTCTTCAAGAGATTCTGCGTTGGCCTGCAGAAGGTAAACCCCATTATTTACTACCTAATTATGCTGTACTTTTAATCCTTTGGTCATCTAATGCGAAGATAAGCAACGAAGGCCTGACTCCTTGTTGTATATTGCAGATTGAGGACGTCTTCAAAAAGCACAACCATGGTTTCATGTGGAACGAGCATCTTGGTTTCATCCTGACCTGCCCCTCTAACTTGGGTACCGGCCTGCGCGGTGGTGTGCACGTCAAGCTGCCCAAACTCAGCACATATGCCAAATTTGAGGAGATCCTGACCAGATTGCGTCTTCAGAAGCGTGGCACAGGTGGGCTTGAAATCATTGAATGTATAAAATGGCAGAGAGTTACACTGTGATCATCATTTTGAGACTCTTCGTACTTCTATTATTCAGGTGGTGTGGACACTGCCTCTGTCGGCGGTGTGTTCGACATCTCCAACGCTGACCGTCTGGGCTCCTCCGAGGTGCAGCAGATACAGCTGGTAGTTGATGGTGTGAAGCTCATGGTTGAAATGGAAAAGAAGCTGGAGAAGGGCGAGTCCATTGATGACATGATCCCTGCCCAGAAGTAAAATGGCAAAAGTGCTTTTCTTTTTTATTTGTTCTTTCATGCAGTCATGCCATCTTGACTTTTCCAAGAGACACTCCACCCTGCTCCATTTTTTCCTACTTTTTTCTCTTTCCTTTTGTCTTCTTTATTCCTGCACTTTTCCTTCTTATCTTCCTGTTCCTCCTGTAACATCCTGGGATCAAACCTCCACATAGCTAGAAAACCTTAGCTATGTTGTATTCACCTTAACTTTTTTTTTTTGTTTGTTGTACAAAGTTAATAAACGGCCCCATGTAACAATCACTCTGTGTTTTAAGCCTTTATATTCTTGACAAGTCTTGATTTGTACCTCCAGACACAGCTGTTAACTTAATGTACAGTATCTCACAGAAGTGAGTACACCCCTCACATTTTTGTAAATATTTTATTATATCTTTTCATGTGACAACACTGAAGAAATGACACTTTGCTACAATGTAAAGTAGTGAGTGTACAGCTTGTATAACAGTGTAAATTTGCTGTCCCCTCAAAATAACTCAACACACAGCCATTAATGTCTAAACCGCTGGCCACAAAAGTGAGTACACCCCTAAGTGAAAATGTCCAAATTGGGCCCAAAGTGTCAATATTTTGTGTGCCCACCATTATTTTCCAGCACTGCCTTAACCCTCTTGGGCATGGAGTTCACCAGAGCTTCACAGGTTGCCACTGGAGTCCTCTTCCACTCCTCCATGACGACATCACGGAGCTGGTGGATGTTAGAGACCTTGAGATGCTCAATAGGGTTTAGGTCTGGAGACATGCTTGGCCAATCCATCACCTTTACCCTCAGCTTCTTTAGCAAGGCAGTGGTCGTCTTGGAGGTGTGTTTGGGGTCGTTATCATGTTGGAATACTGCCCTGCGGCCCAGTCTCTGAAGGGAGGGGATCATGCTCTGCTTCAGTATGTCACAGTACATGTTGGCATTCATGTACTGTGACATACTGAAGCAGAGCATGATCCCAACATGTACTGTGACATACTGAACTTGGCCCAATTTGGACATTTTCACTTAGGGGTGTACTCTTTTGTGGCCAGCGGTTTAGACATTAATGGCTGTGTGTTGAGTTATTTTGAGGGGACAGCAAATTTACAGTTATACAAGCTGTACACTCACTACTTTACATTGTAGCAAAGTGTCATTTCTTCAGTGTTGTCACATGAAAAGATATAATAAAATATTTACAAAAATGTGAGGGGTGTACTCACTTCTGTGAGATACTGTATATGTATGTAATGTATAACACAATTGTGGGGGATCCATTCAGAATTCTCAAAGCTGAACATCAATACACAATTGAAACCTTATGCACACTTTCATGAATACAATCAGCTAAGCTGACCCGAAAGTCATTGTGAGCACTAAAAGATGAGTAATTTGTGCAGAATAGCACAATGACTGTCAACAATAGTTCAAGCACAGTTTGTCATTTCTTTCAGTTATTATGAAGCCAGATCATGTTGGTTTGAATTATAACAAGTTAGAATATTTGCAAATCTTACACAATATATTTCAACCTGAAATGCAATAAATCAATAGAAATTGCTGGAACAAGGAACAATAGTTCATTGAATGACTAACACACTTACAGAAAAAGATCAAAGAGCAAATTGTAAAGAGTGATTTGAAAAGCACACATACACTAATTCAAACAGATTCATACCTGTATCTGTGGATATCAGGTTTAGAGCTACCAAATGAGTACGATTTGTATTATTTAGCTTCTGAAAATAAAAAATAATTACTCTAGATAATAAGATCTCTATTGTTATGTATTCTTTATATATTCCCAATATATTTCCTGAAAACTTCCATTAAGCAAATATCTTTGTTACATTTTGAACTGAACAAAATAAAGACACACAAATCACTGGATTTCAGACAAATGTTGTATTAATCATTCTTGCATTTTCACACATTGCACAGCTCAGACATATTCCAATCTTTACGATGAGGACTTACTATGTCAAATCCGAGATAAACAAAGTCAACAGTCTGTTTGTGGTCATTCAGCAGAGTGCACTTCTGGCAAGATAACAGAGGTTTCTCATCAGCGTAACACATACAAGAGCAACACAAAGAGCATTGTGTCTTGACTTGGCTCAATGGGATAAATTGCACCATTTGAAGGGAGAACTGCTTTTAAACAGGTGATGTTGCTCACTCAGACGGTGTGACCATGTAATGTGACGAACCTAAAAACAATGAGGCTCAGGAAAGCAGACATAACCTACTCAACCTGCATCACTGGCAAGTTTGACAACCAAACAAAATCATTCAAAAATGAGGAGAAATTGCTATAATTTTCAGCATTTGCATTGTCAGCGGCTCTGCATGTTGTCTACGGTATGAAATAGTGTGGCTTTCATACGTGTTTTTTGTGAATATGGTTATTTAAACAAGGATAAAATAAAACATACTCTTCTTGCTGGCAAAGTGGAAGAATAGAAATCAAAAAATGTGTTAAATAGCAGCAGTTAAAAAGGAATGACAATGTACAGAGTGAACACGTCACAAAAAATGGGTGTTAAAAAAAACATGGCTAAGATACCAGGTAAAATTAGCGGTAAAACAGACCTGGAAAAGGGAGTTCCTTCAGCAGAGCTTTTGTGTGAGCAGGTGCCCAGTTCTCAATTTATGTGTGCCAGTCTTTGTAGGCTTAGAGGGGGCGGGGGTGTGGGCGGGGCTACGTCCACTCATCCCATCTTTCTGTCCAATGCTTTTGTCCCTGCCCTCCACCCCCTGTTGCCCTCAGAGTTCGATATCTTTGGACACGTTGGTGGCAATGTCCCGAAAGGCAAGCGGTGCCCCCCACAGGCGTTTAAATCGAACACCGCTGGTATTGGCGGGGCCGTTGGGCAGCTGACACACTTCTGCTTCGAAGGCAACTCGGGAGCCAGCAGCTCCGTGGGTGCAGGAGAGGAGGAAGGGCCCGGCCTGGTGGACCTGGCAACCGCAGCCCTGCGCTGCCTCCCGCAGAGCCAAAACTACCTCAGCCGGGTCCCGCGGGCTCCGCACCTTCACATCCCAGCCGCATCGGGGGGTCCGGGGCTCTGTCGCTTTTTGATACCCAGATAGATAGCGACTGTGGAGGGAGCGGTGGTGAAATGAGGAAGAAATGGAGGGTGGGCGATGACGTAAATGAGCGGATGGGGGATGGAGGGGGGACAAGAGAGAAATATATTAAAAATATGCAAGAACAAAAATCCAGACTTAAGTCTAGGAGTCTGTGATATTATTTAAATAAACTGATGATCAGTAAATAGAAAGGTAACACTTTATATTAAAGTTCCATTTGTTAACATTAGGTAGAGCATTGGGTAACATTAATAAGAAACAACTTTTTGATAGTTTATGATACGTAATGTATTTAATGTTTATGTGAACTTTGCGGTAAAGTGTTACCAACAAAATCATCCTAAATAGTTTGAAATAAACATCCTAAAAAAAGTCTGAAAACCCTTCTACAATCAAAAAAAGAGAGGAAATGTTTAGATAAACACTAAAACCTGTTACCTTTCAGGAGACACTGGAGTTCTTCAGGATAATAAAACCATTTTCAAAAACAGTTACAATCTGAGCATTATTTAAATTCAGTGTGACTATCAGAAAAAGCTGTAGAACATTTTGGAAGGCCTGAATAAAATGTGAATGCCATTAATTAATTAATTTTTTTAATGTCAAGAAATACACTACCATTTAAAAATTTTGGGTCTGTTATATTTTTGAATGTTTTTGAAAGAAGTCTCACCAAGGCTGCATGTATTTGATCAAAAACACAGTAATATTGTGAAATATTATTACAATTTAAATATTCATTTTCTTTTTTCAAATACATTTTAAAATGCGATTTATTCCTGTGATGGCAAAGCAGAATTTTCAGCAGCCATTACGCCAGTCTTCAGTGTCACATGATTTACTTTGAGTAATCATTCTAACATGCTGATTTGCTGCTCAAGTAACCAAAGAATATAATATAAATTTATATTGAATATAAAATTCAAAAGAACAAGATTTTTTAAATCTTACTGACCCCAAACCTTTGAACAGTAGTGTATAAAAACATTCATACTTAAATTAATGGGCACATACAAATATAGGGATAAAATATAATAACATAATAATCAAGCAAAGAATATTTGGTAGAGCACTATTGTATGTTTATGCTGAAATTAACAAAACTCAGAACAGATTCCTGTGCAGCCATACATCACCTGTCATGCACTACATAAACATACATTATTCCTACATGTAAATCTCAACCAAATGTAAACTGCATTCAAGGTACATACACTTGGCAGCTTTTAACAATAATATATATTGAGAATAATAATTTAAAAAATGTCATTCAAACATCCATGTTAAAAACTGAAATGTGACTTTCCAAATGCAACAGTCAACCACTGTCAGTGAATATGGAAAAGGTAAAGGGAAGGACAAGTACGGATCTAAACAAAATCTAAATACAAAATCTAAGCTAGTTTTGATGCACACAGTACACAGTTCTATATAATTAACAAAATGCAGTCACATTCTGATCAGTCTGATCTGCCATGGCACGGATCACATGCTAGAAATTACCTGTATTTTTTAGCCTGACTTTTTGTAGTTGTATCTGTAGCTAAGGAGAAGTAAGAGAGAGTTAAAATCGTATGTGAGGAAGTTTTAGTTTTTTTCCCTTTTCTTACTGAGCAAATAATATTAATTGATCTATCTAGATGATCGTTTTACGGTATTATTGTTCATTTTTCGCTACCTATTTTCTGTCTTTCTTCTGTTTGATTTGTTTGCTTGTTTTCTGCAATGAAGAAGATGGTCCAGAATTGGAGGATGGATGGCTTATGTTACTTCCTCAGTCATATTTGTGTATTAAAAAGATAATGGAAACACTCACCTTGTGACCGGAGATCTGCAGACTCTCTCAGGTTCGTCTGTGACCCTCAAGAAGAAGACAAAGGTTCATGTTAGTAATCAATCAGCCAACAGAGCGGCAATTAGTCTTCATCCCACCCTCCACAAACAACCAATCGCATGAGTTCACATCTAACACCACAGACTTGCACTGTTACATTGACGTCACCTTCAGCAATCCACAAAAAATCGCCACTGACAACAAAAGAAAGTGACGACAGTGATGGATTTATAGAGTAGGATTATGTATTTAATATATTAATTACGTTTTTCAGATGTCATCACACGTTGCTTAATGTCAGTGTAACACAAATTAAAGAAACATTCACAATTGTATCCTTGATAACACCATCTAAATAAATGTATTTCCTGTGTGTCTGGTTATATGCTTTTAAGTTTATTAATCTACTATTCTACATGAGATGTTAGAAGAATATTAGTAGTTATTAAAGCAGCACTATGTAACTTTTTTTGTTCAAAATTTGCAAAATTTATATAATGAGCGAGTACATCATGAATTCATCTTCCAAACCGCGTTTTTGTCTTATTCCGAATCACTACGGTACACTTATAATAAGTACTTATAGTTGGACTATTGTAGCCTGGTCGGGTCGTCACCGCTGCGGAGTAACACATACCTGCGTGAATCGCCATAGACATAAACTTAGAGAAGTAGCTCCGGTTGGAATGTTCTTCCGCGGGATTTGTGCAGTTCTGTTTATTAACCGCTAGAGCGCCAAAAGTTACATAGTGCTGCTTTAATATTGCTTTAAACAAAGAACGTGCTAGTTGACTGATGTCCACATGAGGGCGCTAGGGTTCAAGGCTGCTTTTATGAGCACTTGTGAAACTTTCCATTCACATGATATGACAAATGAGGTGGCCAGTGGATTCCCTCTTAAAGGAACAGTACATGGGCCTCTTCCTCAAAACATTACAGGGAAAATGGAGGGCTCTCTGTTGGGTGTAAATAAACCATATCTGGACAGAAAAATTATGTTGTAGGCAGGGTAGGCAAATGAGCTTGGCCAACGGTGAGAGGGATTTGGCATGAAAGGATGAAATACATGTTACATAACTAAAACGGTTTAAAATAGAGAGAGGAAGCCCCTGCCTGACCCTGCCTTGTTCAAAATTGTCCAGATGAAATTGTTTTAAACAGCTGCTACTGCATTTTTCACTAGAAACCTGATAAAGGCACACAGTATTCCTTGGACCAAGCTAAATGTCACTTGAATGAGTAAAAGGTGAGAGAAATGCATGAATGAATGAATGCATGAAAAGGCTGATACATGGATGGTGCTATGGTGTAAAAGACCCCTTGAGCATCAAACACAAATACAGAACTTTTTAAAAATATTAAATCTTATTAAATATCCACAATAATGTATTTTTACAAAATGCACTAGCAATAATCAAAATAGTGTGGTTCTGTCAAAACTGAAATCATTTACTCACCCTGTCATTTCAAACATGTATAATTCGTTTCTTCTTATGACAAGCAAAATATTTAGCATAATACACAAACTGACTGTCATGCTGTGGAAATGACAAATGAAGTAGTGTAAAACTGGTCCAAATGACTTGTACGTAGGGTTGGGATTCTGCTTAACGATTCCTTGTTTCGATTCCAATAAGATAAAAAAATCCAATAAAAAAAAATTAGTCAAACATTTATTCTGAATAACATGAGCAAAAATCAGCAGCCCACAGAACCCTTAGGCCTAAAAGAAGAACATTTGCCTATGGTTTTAGCAAAAATACCACAGCAAAAACGACTAACATAAATTTCAAACATTAAATTGTTAAAGACAAGTACACAGTCAGTAATAAAATAGGAACAAACAATTAAATTATTAATAGTGTTATGTTGCTATAAATGTTGAAGGACTTTTGTTAATGTCATGATGTTTAGCAATGTTCATTTTAGCAATAACTGGTTAGCTGTTAGTCTCTGTTCACTTTAAGGGGCGGGGATAGTCCGGCGCGGGTAGAGGACGGGCTAGAGAGAGTTCAGACCTCAGAGTTAGTTGGGAGAGTGAGAGCACAGAGCAGCGAGTGCTATTCTTCCTTGTTTTTCTTCTGTGTACGGCGTGGGTTACGGCCATAACAGTAATCCTCTTCAGAGTTACAGAGCAACTGAGAACTCATGTAGAGACAGCAGCCTAATAAACGTAGTGCTTGTCATTTATGTTCACTAATTTACTGATCTTGATTGAATATCTTTCGTAACTTTAATGAGGATTAATCTACATTTTATTTATCAAAAGTAAACTATGCAGTGTTTTGAAACTTGATTTCAATTTCTGTAGGCCTACCTGAAATTTGTTCAGTTGTATTTATTTATGATATTGTAGCGCTCCGTTACTAATGAAACCAGGCGTTTTCTTTCTCACCTGTTTACGTTCACTTAAAGGGGTCATATGATGCGATTTCAAGTTTTCCTTTCTCTTTGGAGTGTTACAAGCTCTTGGTGCATAAAGAAGATCTGTAAAGTTGCAAATAGAGGACCTACAATAATGTACAGTATTAGAAAAATAATGTGTTTTTTGAACATTAAAGCATGTCAACATATTCTGTTGCACCAAATACACAAAATAATGATCTTTAAAATAGCATCATATGACCCCTTTAAGACAAAAAAACGGCTGTATTTACAAGGATATTCTGACGTAATTTTGAACATATTGGTTGCAAGATGTGAAAGAAGCCAGTTCCAGCCCAGAACTAAATTTTTTGCAGTGTAAATAATGCACGGAACGGTTGGAGAACGAACACAGAGAACCGCGGGCCGGGCTCCCCTTGCTCGCGCTTCAGATGTGTGCCACGCACGCAAAACAGAGCGTAAAGTTCTTTTCTGCGCTTAAATCGTTTAAAATCACATTAAAATGCGAAAGCGGGAATCGAAATGATCGAATACCCGGTTATGGGAAATTTGGAACCGGTTGTAAAATGGAACCGGTTCTCGATACCCAACCCTACTTGTATGCAAGTCTTCTCCTTGCAATTGCTCTAAAAACTTGTTGATTCATATATGTTGTGGCAAGACCTGGCATGACACGTCTTGATGTACCATATCTGAAAATATAAAAAAATATATATGTTGCAATAAAGCAGACTAACAGCTTGCGTGTATTCCACAGAAGAAAGAATACCATACAGGTTTGGAATGACATGATGGTGAGTATGATGACTATCCAAAATGTATATTTTTAGGTGAATTGTTCCTTTAAAAAGCAAATAAATATATGTGTACAAGCTCAAGGAGGTGTTCTGACACTCAGCGCCAACACAGGTGCCAAAGAGAGCGATGAGACTGTGAGTATTTGGACAGACTGAGAGATGGCAAAAAGTCCACAAACAGGAAGAAAACTTACTAACTGTTTTTGATCCCTGTGGCAGAGTGCAGCCCGAGACTGACTTGTTTGAGTTCTGGCGCTTAGAGGGGTCAAGATTGACCCTAAGAGTTGATGAAAGGAAGGAAAAAGGACAGTGAAGAGAAGGACAGTTTGGTAGACAGAAAGAAGGAGGGGAACAGGAAGATCGAGAGAGAAATAAGATTGCAGCAAGGAAAAAAAGCAAAGAAACAAATAAACAAAACAGAAACACAGAGCACCCAACAATAGAACAAGAGATAGAGGGACACGGGGGGGAGCAGGTGCCTGAAGCTGTCGGTTAATAACAGAGGAGGCTTGAGGAAGAGTTAATGCAAAGAGTATATGCATATGCAAACTTATATGGAAAAGGACTTTATCCATTGGATGTCACCCTAGGTAGGTTAATCTAATCGGGAAGTTTCTTTAAGAGATAGAAAGGTTGCTCTAATCTAATAAAGAGCTTCTAGATGCATACCCCTGCAAAAGTCATTCTTTCTGGCTTACAGCCCAGAGGCACATAAACAATTTCACTGAGGATGCTGAAGAGCAAAGCGCCCCATAAGCGTTCCTACATGCTACTGAACATCTCAATTACATTACAGACTCCAAAAGCTCCCATATCTAACTCCATTACCTCCTCAGATTGCACAGGACAATGGGCACCAAACCAAATGAAAGATGACTTTGTAAACTGATTGGCTTCAGCAGTGGAGCCTATGTTATTTTGATATTATGCAGCTAATAGGCCGATCACATCAAAGACGATAACTATAATGGTAACTATAAAGTTAAATATAAATTCCTTCTTTTTTTCTGAGAGAATAGGGAAACACAGAGGAACGATATCCTTGGAATCAATTTCAGAACGTTTTTTCTTCCAGCTGATGAACGATATAAACACTGACAGCCAATGAGAATCCACCCGAATTAAAGATAAACAGAATATTATCGTCTGTTGGTGTAGACACTAATATAGTTATCTTCTGTTGGTGTGAACGCTAATATATATATATATATATATATATATATATAATATTATATTATAGTGTTGTAGTTATTGTCTGTTGGTGTAGACGTTAATATACAGTAGTTATCATTATAGTTATTTTTATAGTTATCGTTTATTGGTGTGGTCTCTTACATAGCTATCTTTATAGTTACCGTCTGTTAGTGCAGACAATAATATAGTTATCTTTATAGTTACCGTTCTTGAGGTGAATGCAAATCTAGTTATCATAAAAGTTATATTTTTAGTTATTGTCTGTTGGTGTGGACAATAATATAGTGATCTTTATAGTTATAGTCCGTTGTTGTGGATGTTAATATACAGTAGTTATCGTTAAAGTTGTGTTTATAGTTATAGTTCCTTGGTGCGGATGATAATGTAGTTGTCTTTATAGTTAGCGTCCATTGGGTGGATATATAAAATGAATATAATTATTGTTGTAGGTATATTTATAGTTACCGGCCGTTGGTGCGGACACAAATATCGTTATTGTTATAGTTATCTTTATAATCATTGTTCTTGGGGTGGATGCTAATATAGTTATTGTTATACTTATAGTTAGCATCCATTGGTGTGGATGTTAACGTTTAAGTTATCCTTATTATTATAGTTATTCTCTGGTGTGAACAGGCCTTAAACGTCCTCAGATAGCACCATGCTAACTCTAAAAAGTAGAATATTTGGAAAGAGCGAACTGATTATATGGAACTTGATTTTATTTGGATCTATTTTTATCTATAATATTCAAAAGTTTACTCTCTTAAAGTCATTCTGGTTTACAAGAATCCGTCGTTCTCTTCTTACCTGCGGGTAAGTTTTGAGGTCAGCTTAGAGAACAGGTTTGTGGTGGCACGGCTACGGGAGTGTGGCAGAGGGCTGGCTTCGTGAGAGAGGGTGGGTGAGGTGGGGGGTGCGTGGGTGGGAGGCCGGTGGTCCCGGAGCTGGCCCCCGTGGAAGGTGCTGCGGATTGTGGAGCCCCTCGTCAACCGAGAACGCTCGGAAGATGTGGAGCTGGAGGCCCCAGCCCCGGAGATGCTGTGGGTGGACGGGGAGGCTGGAGGTAATCGATGTGACAAAGAGCTGAGGAAAGAGACAAGAAAACATGGATGGAAATTAAATTCCCCCTAAACTGAAGTTGTGTGTAACTCGTCCAGCATTGCTTTTGCTATGGACATGAATGATACCTACCCAGAACAATCATTATAGGATTCTAACAACCACCCAGAACATTATGGTAGCAAGTTTTGCACAGGCAAAAATGCATGTGAAAATGCAAAAATCTAGCTTTAATTAGCAGTTATCATGGATCTAACTGGAGGCTACTTCGGTAACAGAACCCAATCCATAATACAAAGTCCAAAACGAAACACAGTAACAGCTCTGTAGCGATACGATTAAACCAATATCAGATCTCGAGACTCAGAGAGGCAGCTCTGGCTGGGTTTAGTTGAGCGTAAATGTGAGGCAGGATGCTGAGTCACTGAGGCATGAGCTCTCTTGTGTTCTTATTCCCATCTCAGAAACAGCCACTTAAGGCAAATTAAAACTGAACCCTTAGCGGAAAAAAGCTTGCACACGACTGCACATCTGAATGCTGGAAACAGAGAACATTGAAGGAGTGAGAAATCTCTTTATTTTCTGTTTATTAAACTAATCCGAACCAGGGAAACAGGAGAGAAAGTCATAGGACAAAGAGAGAAAAGGAGAGCAAGAAGAAAAATGATGATCCACAACTCACACCCACAATGGTACTGGCATTACTAAGGTGTCCATAGTGGTGGTTAGCAGCTTTGGGTGGTTAACAGGGTGTTGTTACTAAGGACCCCTTGAACACTTTTGGAATCGCTTCGACAAGCAGTAGCACACCTCTCCTCTTGAATAGGAATAGTGATGCTGTCCATAGCAACTAGCACTACTAATGTCTCGGTTCAGATGGGTTCACGTCACAGACGTGCAGCTCTTGGCACCGGACTGCCTCTGTCCCCTCCGTCTCGCTCAGTTTTGGCAGAAATCTAACAGATCTCACATGCTGCCTCAGTCTGCCCACTGGCCCGGGGCCACTTCACTTAACGCTCTAAATAACCCTGCGCTGATGGACCTTACACACACGCACACAAACACACACACACACACACAGAGGATTTCCTATAACAGAGTTTCACATATTAGCTTCTATTGGTCGGAAACACTGCAGTCATTAATAGCAGTTCTGGGCAGAAAATTTGTGTGATGAAGGGTTTGAAATAGCTTGGCTAGGTTGAATGTATTCAGTGTTTATATGGGGTCCAATTAATTTGAGACTAGTCTGAGATTTAACATCTCAGAATTTAGGTTTGATGATTTTAAACAGTAAAATTAACAAATTCTATTGAAATATTCTACATTATTTCAAATCAAATATGCAAATCTGTGACTTATTAATATTAATGGTAAAATATAAATATCATTAAAATCATTACCCTGATAATACTATTTGCAATCAAAAAAACATTGTATTAAATTATAAAAATCATTTCAGATTTCCTCTCAGATTTCACTGTGTATTTGTCACATTCTGGTGATGGTGATTCTGCGTGTGTGGACACGTGTGCTGTACTAGCTGGGCTTGGGGGAGGGAGGCTTCTTTAGGTCAACCAGTCAAGCAGCCTTATGACCCAGACAATCCACGTGCCTCCTCTCGTTCTCTTTAAGTCACATGACAGCCAGTCTTTGGGCCTCCCCCGATGAGGAGGAAAGAGAGAGAGGAGGGTGATAGAAGGACAGCTAAGCAGTCACCATCTGCCACTGCTGAAGCATAACAGACCAAATCCATCTCAATAAACAAGCACACAGAAAAAAATATTTTCGTCTTCAGCATGTACATCAATTCTGAAACTTCAATGCATATATACAAAAATAAAATACAGAGACACATTTTACCTGTTCTCTTTCCCATTCTGTAGTAAGGTGTGTCTGTCAGTGCTCGTACGGTCCGTACATACATAAGTGTTCCTACGGGTCATGGTACTGGCAGGGATGTTGTTCTAAAGCATGAAACAGGAAGCAGGTATTGAAAACCAAAAACAATGGATTTTACACAGATATACTATTGCAGCTATCCAAATATGACGTGCTTTTCTGACACAACTGTCCTCAGAAATTCATGCATGCAAGGAAACATCACTTTATGACCAGAGAATGCTGATAACGAATGTGAACATGTGCCATTATATCCTGGGGAATAATTGTTGTTATTGATGTATTTGGTGTACAGGAAGTTATGTAACATTTTAATGGACGGCACTTGAACTGTCATTAGCATGATTTTTATTTTCTACTTTATTAAAGGAATAGTGCATCTAAAAATGAAAAATCCATCATCATTTTACTTGTCTTTGGAAACTTTTTTTCTTCTTCTGTGGAACACAAAATAAGTTATTTATAGCAGAATATCCAGCTTCCCTTTTTCACAGAGTGAAAGTAAACAGTGACCACGGCTGTAAGTAAGGTTGACGGCTTATATTTCAGTTGCTTCCTTGCATAAATCTATCATATGGCTTCAAAAGACTTGGAATATAGTGCACAAACCCTAAGACCGAATTTGTGAACAATTGTGAAAAATCTCCTGAACAATTAATATTTTAATTGATATTTCCTGCAACAGGATGTATATGATTTCCTGTGCTTGATTACCGTTGTTGCATTGATGTCTTTGCGGCGGTCAGGGATCTCAGCTTTGTTGGGGTTGTTGGCTGTGCTGACCATGGGGCTCGACGGGGGGATGCTACGACTGCCCACCACACTGCAGCTGGCCTTCCTCGAGGGCAGACGCTCCTCTTTTAGTTCCCCCTCTCCTGTACTGGTGGGGCTGCGCTTGGGGTGGGTTACTGGCACTGATGGCCCACCTGACAAACATTATAAATAATGACAATTATAAATTATGTTAATAACAACAACAACAACAACAACAATAAAATGTGTTGCTATTAATAATTATTATTATTACTGATAATAATAATAATTATTATTTTAACCTATAATTATAATTAAGCTATAAATAATATCAAACTATAAAAATGAAATGATCCATGAGGGGTGCCGGGACTCACAGAAGTCGCTGTGCCTCCTCTGGCGGTGGTAGGTGGAGGCACTGCGCTGGGGTTTAGTGTGACTGGAGGCAGAGGTGGAGCTGGACGAGGAGGTGGAGGAGTGTTTGCTGGTGCCATTAGTGATGGGACTGGGCCGCACCCGTGCTAGAGACAAACTGCTGCTCGAGCGGGACTCCATGCCATCCTATAAGGTAAACATATACTGTAAGATATTACACACTTATAGGATAACGCACAGGCTGTTCTCAGGTCAGCGGCAATCCCTATCTCACCTCATTCTTGCGGCCTAGCAGCAGATACATGGCAAATATCTCATTGTACTTCTGTGTGCTCAAGGCATCTTTGATTTCATCACGGGAGTAACCCATTCCTACCATCACATCTGTATGACCAGAGAGAGAGCAAAAATAATTAAAGCAAATAAGCAAGTAGTCATTAAGCAAACAATTTTAACCAAATTTGAGCAACCTGGTTTTAAGTGCCTTGCTAGCAAGGTTTGAAACCACAACCTTCTGGTTACTACAATGCAAAAAAAATTTGGTTTCACTTTGATTTTGATGGTCCCTTTAACACATTCTGTTGACTATAGGTAACGTTGCACCTACATGTCTACTAACTCTCATTAGAGTGTTAGCAGAGTATTAGTAGACTGGTAGGGTTAGGATTAGAATAAGTTGACATGTACTTGCAAAATTACTTTTAGTCAGTAGAATGTCTGTTGGGAGACCATCACAATAAAGAGTTAGCAGATATTAAGCAAAAAGTCTACTAATACTCTAATGTGAGTTAGTAGACATGTACGTGCAACGTTATTTATTGTCAACAGAATGTTCAAAAGGGACCATCAAAATAAAGTGTTACCAAATCTTTTATTGTTATCTTTTTTTTCAGTAATCTGTCTTGTTACATATAAGAAATATATATATACATCTTGATGGTCCCTTTAACAAATTCTGTTGACTATAGGTAACGTTGCACCTACATGTCTACTAACTCTCATTAGAGTGTTAGCAGAGTATTAGTAGACTGGTAGGGTTAGGATTAGAATAAGTTGACATGTACTTGCAAAATTACTTTTAGTCAGTAGAATGTCTGTTGGGAGACCATCACAATAAAGAGTTAGCAGATATTAAGCATAAAGTCTACTAATACTCTAATGTGAGTTAGAAGACTTGTAGGTGAAACGTTATTTATTGTCAACAGAATGTTCAAAAGGGACCATCAAAATAAAGTGTTACCAAATCTTTTATTGTTATCTTTTTTTTCAGTAATCTGTCTTGTTACATATAAGAAATATATATATACATCTTAGAAACAAGATACATTTTACTTTGATAAGTAAAATTGTGAAAGGAAAGCTTTTCTTCACAGAATATACACTACCGATTTTATTAAAGAAATTAATACTTCTATTGAGCAAGGATGCATTCAATTGATGAAAAAGCTTTTACATTGTTACAAAAGATTTCCTAGAATGATTTCTGAAGGATCATGTGACACTCAAGAATGCTGAAAATTTAGCTTTGCATCACACGAATAAATTATATTTTGAAATATATTCAAATAGAAAACTATTTTAAATTGTAATAATATTTCACAATATTACTGTTTTGACAATTTTTTATCAAATAAATGCAGACTTGGTAAGCATAAGAGTCTACTTTCAAAAACACTGAAAAACTGTATTTACACCATAAATTTTGCATGGTTTTTAAAATAGTTTATTTTTCTTACTTCATTTGCAAATTGTTTTAATCATATATCTAGAGAAATAAAATTTTGGCAATGGGGTAAAAAATTATACAAAAATGTAAATGTATTACTTAAATATTATAAAAAATATGTATTAAAAAAGCATAAATGTGCAAGATACATCTTGTTATGAGTATGTTTATATACTGGAAAGCCAAAAAAAAATGTAAGAAAATTATTTTCTAATAAAATCATGTAAAAGGGCCAAAAGGGGAAGTGGTGGCAGGATTTCTTACCTATACGGCTGCTGTCATTATAATCCTCCACAGGCTCTACATGAGGCTTCAGGTCGTCGTTTTCGTACCCGACATTCATCCACTTATCCTTCATGATTTGCTGAAGGGGAAGAACAGAAAGTCAGATCGAGTGAGCAAAGGCCCGCAAGATCCATGCAAACTCAATAAGACGTATTATCAACTGTGATGGTCGATTGCGGGTCACAGTTGCTCCTCCTCACCTCCAGGGTGCAGCGCTTGGTGGGATTGAGCACAAGGAACCGGCGCAGGATGCTCTCACAGTCAGTAGACATGTAGAATGGCACACGGTACTTCCCCCTCAACACACGCTCACGCAGCTCCTGAGGGAAAAACACAGACTTCTATTCAACACATAACCTAATTCTGAACCCGTCAGCCACCGAATCGCCCCCACGGCACAAAGAAACAATCACAGCTCACTTGACCTACATTACTTGAGAGCAAAGCATTTCATAAGAGCAACTGCTGCACGTGTGCTGCCTTAGAAAATGTCTCAAATTGTTGTCATATGACTGTTCAGAATGACACATTATTTTACATTGAATATTAGTTGTGACTCAACATATTAAAAAGTTTGCAACAAAAGTAAACAAAAATAAACTACCAATAAACACAATGTGGCATTTATTTAATGTAGACGTTATTTCTTTTATCTTCAATAGATGAATTTCACCGTTTTCGAGAATGATATCATAATAGAAAATATCATAATATCTACTGATCAAATATGTTTTTACTGAAATGTAGACAATACATGCAGCCCTTAAATAGAGTAACTGACTGATATACAACAAATAAATAAATAATTTTATTGACCAGAGCTATCATAGTGCTCACAAACAATGGAAATATATAAATATTGCATAATAACAGGACATTACATATTTTTATTTATTATAATCGCTGATATTGGATATATATTGGCCGATATTATACATTTAAATGTGTGCATTTTCATTATTTTTACATGTGGATTGTTTTTGCCATCATTTAATAGTCACTTAATATATAAAAAATGTAATAACACTGTTAAATGCAATTTTAAGCAAATCTCAAAATTAAAATCTATTTTCCATACTGTACATTATAATGCTGTAATATTAAATTCACTTGTAGCATTAAAAATGATTGATTTTAGTTTAGTTTGTGCTTTATTTTAATTAATATGCACAAAATAGTGCAGAATGTTAATGGCGACCATTTATCAATTATCGCCCCATAATATAAAAATAATTATTAGCTTATGTCTATCAGGGGGAATTTTAATATCAGTGCATTCCAACCTACCACTGGAAAAAATATTAAAATTAAAACATATCTAGATAAACATGGTCGTTGGATGACTTTTTGACATACTCATACATCGCTCTAATCTTTTTCAAGGCCTTTCTTTCGTTTCTTATACTAAGTTGAGTAATTTACCTTGAGGTTTTGTCCATCAAAGGGCAGTGATCCGCTGACCAGCGTGTACAGTATAACTCCCAGACTCCAGATGTCCACCTCTGGCCCATCATACTTCTTCCCCTGAAAGAGCTCTGGGGCGGCGTAAGGGGGGCTGCCACAGAACGTGTCCAGTTTACTGCCCAGCGTAAATTCATTACTGAAGCCAAAGTCAGCAATCTTGATGTTGGCGTCTGCATCAAGCAGGAGGTTTTCCGCCTGAGTGAGGTATAAGATGTGATATATGACCATGAGCAGGAATTTAATAGCTTTGCGCTTTGGGGTTATTTTAAAAGGGAGCAAAGTGTGCAAAGATAAAGCAGTTTACTGTTTTATGAAAGCTACAGATGCAATAAAATGACATAATATGTAATGTGAAAGAACAATAACCTTCAGGTCCCTGTGAACAATATTCTTCTGATGACAGTAATAAACCGCAGACACGATCTGAAAGAGAAACACAGACAACGATATCTCTGAAACAGGAAACAGGAATAAAACAGGGTAATAGGAATAAAAATGTATAGCATGTTTAACACATTAAAAACAGAAAATACAGTTTGGTTTTGCTCCTTTTAGATTTTTATTTCATCAAAGGTGAACAAGTTTCAAGTTGCACTGATTATGATATGTCTTACCTGCCGGAATTTAGCACGCGCCTCCTTTTCCTTCATTCTCCCGTGGGATACGAGGTAGTCAAATACTTCACCTACCATAGAAGAAAAATTTGAGTAAACTTAAAAATAATAATAATATGTTCCAAAATTTAATTTAATATTTTTAAAAACAATTAAACTTCTTCAAGGAAATAGTTGAAATAAGATAATAATTATTTATTTTAATTTATTTTGGTCGATAACTGATACTGCGAAGGGCCTCTAAAATGTGCAGTTTTACTGTATTGGGGGGTCCGAAAACCAGTCAGTATCTTGTGTGACCACCATTTGCCTCACGCAGTGCAACACATCTCCTTCGCATAGAGTTGATATACTATAGAATATTTAAACTGCTTGATCTGTTGCATCATTGCAAAATGTAAACTATATTATCACCCAGCTCTGATCTGCTAAATGCAACTATAACACATGAAGATATTAAGATAACATAAACATTAACATCATGAATTTCCATAAAGCTGCTTTGAAACAATGTGCATTATGAAAAGCGCTATACAAATAAATTTGTCTAAATTCCTCTTGATAAACAGCCGATATTAAAATTCTACACTAGTCTAAAATTTGATTTAAAAAAACTGAAAAGTACAAATCAAAGTGAATCAAATGGAATTAGGCATCACAAGATTATAATGTACAATATGAAAAATGGATATTTATTTTGAGATTTGCTAAAAATGTAAAAGTTATTAATATTATTTAAAGAAATTTAAGTGAGTAAATTATTTAAACAATTTATTGCTCATAGGAAACTCTCTAATATTGTTCAACAATCCATATGGTACAAATATATTGCACATTCTTTCATAAAACTACATTGAGTAAAGATTCCAATAAGCACACATTGGATGGGTAACGGAGGTCACTAATATAACTCATCTAGTTATGGACAATCGATTGGGAATTTCCTGACTAATGAAGTTAGTTACTTAATACCCAACGACTGGATGCAATATTTCATTCTGCTACGTATTCACTGACGACAGAATGAGATTCATTAGAGGAAGGAATGGATAATGAATGAGCTTCCAGTAAGAATGTGTAGTATAAGCTAGCGCTGTACGCGTGCCTGTCCGTACTCTTGCACGTGCATCAGCCTCATCAGATAGATTAGGAGTGGAAACGTGTGATTCATTAAGAGAGCAGCCAATTGAAGCTCCACAAATAGGACGGGCTAAAGTTAAATTAAGCCTGATTTGACTATGAGCATCTTTACTAGCGGCAAATCACTATAATTGCTGAGCTGTGTGGGCCCGGCTTCAGTGAATGCACACGAAACCTATAGAAGGACGAAGGAAGGGAAAGATAAGAAGAGAGATAAAGGACGAAGCCTGTGCAGCTGTGCTCATTGATGTGACAGTCACACACATGCATGTTTACGAGTGAGTGAGTACAAAGACTGGAGACACGTGTGATTATTCATATCGAAAGTTATGTTGAAAGCTAGACAGTATATTTGGTATTAATGAGAAAGAGAGAAAAGCAGAAACATAATTTTTTCATTTTCAACAAAGTAATTTGCTACATTGAAGTAACTTTTTCTAACAGTGCATTAAAGTGTGCACATGTAGGATGCATGTATGTATGTTGAAGTGGGGAGGAATCGTACCACCACTGGCATATTCCATCACAAGGTAAAGCGTCTTCTCCGTCTCAATCACTTCAAAGAGCTGAACTGTATATATAAGAAAAAATTCACAATCAGAAGATCATTTTACCATGTGCAAAAAAGTAATAAGTAAACCGAGCAATAGAGAATATGTGCCGGTTGTTGACTCCAAGGAAATCTTCAGCCAAAAATGAAAATTCACTCAATAATTTACCCAATAATTAAAAACATTTTTGAAGTTTAACAGTTCAACATGAAGCTCAACATTTATTGAAACAAAGCTGACATAAAATAAAATATAAATATTAGATGAAAAACTTAGAAATGCTGCCTTGGCAACTAACTGTAATAAAATAAGTTGAAGTACTAAAATTACTAAAATAAATAAAAATAAATTAAAACTAAATAAAAATATTTAGAAAAAAATCATAAAAGTGACTAAAGCACATAACAAAATTACTAACTAAAATAAAAATAAAAATGGAAGACATAAAAATAAAAGCCAATTCAAAATATTAATAAATTGTATATAAGAGTATATTAATAATACTAATACAACACTGCTACAAATGCAGATAATATAAACTGAAAGAATTTTAGAGGTGGTCAGTGTGCTTTGAGAGGCCTCAGATGTTGACATTTTGGCAGTAAAAGTAAACGTTCACGCAAAAGCATCTAAAATACTCACCTATGTTTGGGTGATTGAGGCCCTTCATGATCCGTACCTCTCGAAAGAGCTGAGGAGAAATAAAGAGAGAAAGTAATCAGTAAAATTAGATAAAAACTTCTGTTTATACAACAACAACATGGAAATATTCGTAATACATAATAAAAAATGAATATACTATAATTAAATCTTAATATAATTAGAAATTAAATAGCCTACAATTAACTATTACATACAATACATATAATTATATAATAATAATTATAATTACTTTATACCCAAATGCTGATAATATAATTTGATAATACAATCAAAACATTTTCACTAGTGGTCTCAGACTTTCAGATCCTCTTTTCAGTCATGTTTAGTGGTTGATAAAATCATCTCTGTCAGAAACGTTTCAATGATTACATCAATAAAACATCATAATCCACAATGACCCTGCAGAGACTGATGGATGGGGATTCATGCAAATTCATAAATAGCATTTACACCGAAGCCCACGATAAATACAAAACAGCTCACACTCTCTGACACAACCCATGGTGCCGCCTGCTCAGCCTGTCCTTTCTAACGGCAGTTAAATTGAACGGAAAAGGGATCAAGCCAAAAAAAGACCCATCTTGTGACCAATCTTTCGTTCCGTTGTCAAGGACATCAGAGCTATGCTGTAGCTTGTCTGCTGCTGAGAATCACAGTCTTGTGGTACAGAGCTGAATCGCTGTTACACACAAAGTATCCTTTGAATTTCCTCCCTCCAACATTTCCTCCCATTCGGAAAAAAACATAAAAATTCTGTCCAAAACATATTTTAAATATGCTAAATAAAGTTGTAAACAGTGAAGCTCAATGAAATATATTTTGAAATTTAAAAAAATAGTTTTAGTTTCAACCTTCATATACCAAAACATATTTCAGGGGCATGAAAATACATTTCCAGTCTTAGAGTAGCCTATATTTAGGCTAAATACAAATGTGGATGGAACAGCATACTACAGATCAAAACTAGATTTATAATGATTTAAAAAAAAAAAAATCCTTGCTGATTTTATATGTTCCCATGAATTATAGACAACAAATAAAGCTCTTCTTCAAACGTAACATCCGTCTATGAATTTTCTTGGATTGCAATATATGAAGTTTTATATATTTTATATTTTTAAAAATATATTTTCAAAAATAAAAATGGCGAAAAATGTATTGGTGAATATATTTACACATTTTATATATATATATATATATATATATATATATAATATAATATATTTATATA